CCTTCACTCCCTCTTTATCCTCCTTAGTCGGATACCTTCAATTTAAATATTCTTGTAAAGTTGTCATAATAGTTATTGTTATATATTAATTTTTAGGTTATTTGGAAGATTTTTTTTCAATCTTTTTCGTGAACTTCTTTTTTTCATAATTCAACTTTTGAAGGATAACCAACCGCAAAACTCACTGCTAAATTATATTTTCCAGCAGGGACTAGGTTATTTTGTTCCAAATAATCAATTATTTCTTTTTCTTTAAATCCTCCCATTGGGGAAGTAGCAAGATTTAAACTAGTTCAAAGCAAGAGAAAATTTTGGAGTAAAATAAAGCACTGTTGCTTGGCTCAAATACTAACTTTGTTCGGTCTAGCAGGATTGAATAGAACCAGGGATTTTTGGCAAAATTCAAGATAAGTTTTTTCAGTTAATCGATTATATTTTCATCAGTTTCTCAATTAAAGGCTTCACCGCGATAACTTAAAATCAAAAAAAGATGAGAGCAAGAAAGTATTTGCTTTTGTTGGCGAAAAAGCGGATATAAATCCTGTTTAATTTTTTCCTCACTAACTACTAAAATAAACCAGGGCTCTAAACCATACCAAGAAGGAGCCCGGCAGGCAATTTTAATTACTTTTTCTACTAACTCGGAAGGGATTTTTTGGGAATTATATTCGCGAATGGCTTTTCTTTGGGAAATAATGTTGCTGAGAACACGAAAACTGCTAGGTAATTTCTCCAAATTCAACCAGTTTTTTTCAAAGTTGCTGTTTTTATTCATTAGCCAACAAAAAAATTATCTCTTTTTTGGCTTAAAAATTCAAATGACTATTCCCATTAAAGCTATTATTCCCACCACAATAATTACTGGTAAAACTCAGCGTGGTCATTCCTTATCACTAGCACTTTCTTTTAAATTTTTCCCGGCTTTTTCTAACCCTTCACCAGTTTTTTTGACCGTGTTGGAGGAAGCATCACCTATTTCGTTGGCTGTTTCTTTGGATTTGTCTTTGATTTTTTGCCAAGCAGTGCGGTCAGCATTTCAGTTGCCGCCAGTTATTATTAAAGTGCCCCTCCTCCTCCTCCTCTTTTTGTCATGTCCTCGCCAACTTCAATTTTGATACTTTTCCCTTCGACAAATTCGCTCAAATCACTTTCATTTTGATATTCAATTTGGATTAGTGAGTAATTATGGTCGCCATAATTGAAAAGTTCGATTTCGTAAAAAGCATATTTTTTGCCATCTTTTTCTATTGTGTCCATGGCTTTTTTAATTTTTACTGTAATATTCTCTGTCATATAAGAAGTTTTAAATGTCCTTCAATTCTCTCTCTCTCTCTCTCTCTTGTTTGTTGATTTCCCTTAAAGGGAAAAAGGATTTATTATGTTATTTTTTTTTGCTGTTTTTGTGGGGGATGGTTTTGGAGAATTTTGACTGTTTTTTTGGAAAAGTTGAAAAATCCTGCTTCTCGTCGCTAAAAAACGAAAATTTTGGTTAAAAATACCATATGACGACGGAAAATTCCCGTAAAAGTGCAAACACTGCTTCTACTAACGAAATTAGAAAAAAATGGTTAGACTTTTTTCAGCAAAAGGGCTATTATTTGCTTGAACCAGTTTCTTTGGTTCCCCAAAACGACCCTTCGCTTTTGTGAATTAATTCCGGAGTAGCTACTTTAAAAAAATATTTCCGTAATCCTTCTTTGGCTCCTTCCCGCAATTTAGTCAATTGTCAAAGAGTAATCCGCACGGACGATTTGGCCAATATTAATCAGCATTCTTATCACCAAACACTTTTTGAAATGCTTGGTGTCTTTTCCGTTGGCGGGAATTTTAAGCAGGAAACTATCCCCTATTTTTGGGAATTTTTCACTTCGTCAAAATGGCTAGGCTTGGCACCCGAAAGATTATTTATTACAATTTACCACGAGGACAAAATTACTTACCAAATTTGAAAAGAGCAAAAAGGCATTATTCACGAAAATATTCTTCCCGGCTCAAAAAAAACTAACGTCTGGGACATGGGAGGAGACAACAGTCCTTGGGGTTATAATACCGAAATTTATTATGATTTTCAAGCTAACAAGGATACACCAAAAAATGCTACTGATTTAGATAACAAAAGATTTTTAGAAATTTGCAACATCGTTTTTCCGGAATTTTACCATAAGGGGGAAGAAAATTTGCCTTTAAAAGAAAAATGTGTAGACGTTGGCGGTGGTCTCGAAAGAATAGCGATGGTAGTTCAAGGCAAAAAAAATGCTTTTGAAATTGATTTATGAGAACCGGTTATTCAATTGATAGAAAACTACCACCAGAAAAGCGAAAAATAGACCATATGGCAAGGCAACGTTAAATGTCAGGATTGTAAAAGTAGTCGACTAGTATTTGCAAGAAAAAAAAAAAAGTTAATTATTAAAACTTTATTTAAAGGATAATATTATGGGTAAAGATAACGAAAACGATTTAACAATTTTTCGCCAAATGATAATGTGAGTAGAACAATATATCGAGCAGGCTAATTTTTATTCTGATTGGGAACAAAGAAAGCAAACCGATTATAATTCTTGTATTAAATGGGTAAACAAGCAAACTCCCGTAAATGAAATATTGAAAAGTTTGGGACTTTGTCTGCACCTCGAATTCGGTCATAGCGGAAAAGGAAAAGACTGATTATCACCAAAATTTCGAGAAACAGTAAAAACCGAATTTTACAAATGAATAAACGCTACTAAAATTGACAACAATTGTCCTAAGCAATTAAAACAGGTCTTATTTAGGATACATGAAGTAATGGAAAACAAAGAAGGAGGTTATAAACTTTTTAAATCATTAGAGAATAGTAAAAAAGATTTAGAACCCGATTCACCCGAGTACCAAGAGCAATTACAAAATGTCTTTTCCATCGTTTCCGAAGCTCACGCTAGTGGAAAAGCCTTTGAAGTTGATAATGGCAGATTTGATGGCGACGCAGAGGCTGGAAAAGCAACTTTCCAAGCAATTGCTAATTCTCTTTCTGCTGCTGACAAGGAAAATTTTCATTTTTGACCGCAAATGACAGAAGAAGAAAAAGCCGAAGAAGAACGTAAAAACAAGGAAAGAATTAACCGAATTGGTGAAGACCCTATTCTTCAAAGCAAAAGAATTCACGCCATTAATGAAATTACCCATGCCCTCAACCAAGAACCCAAACTTACTAATAGTAGTTTATCACCAGAAAACCAAGACTGAGAAGTTGAAATAGAACTAGCCAAAAGCCTTATTGAAATTCAAAACATTGAAAACCGAACACTGGTAGATATCAAAATAAAAAGACAAAAAAGACAATCTTTTCTCCAACAGCAAGAAAAATGAAAAACCACAAAAACGTTTATGATAATCGGAGTAACATCTACTATTTTTAGTTTAATTATTATTCTAATTTTCTACTATCAAAAGAAAAATGAGAAAAGAAAATAATCCTTTGTTTGATAACGGAGAACAAGCACCATTAAAAGCCTTAATTTTTGATTTGCTTTATAATCAATACCGAGGAGTAATTATTTATGTGCGTATTTTTTCAGGAGAATTGAAAGTAAAACAAAAAATCAAATTTTTCAGCAACCAAAAAATCTACCAAGTAGAAAAAATAGGAGTAAAAACTCCCCAAGAAGTAGAAAAAGACCGCTTAATAACTGGTGAAATCGGTTGATTTACGGCTAATATTCGAGAAATTAGAGATACCCAAGCCGGGGATACTATTGTCGATATTAACACCGAAAACCCAACTCCTTTGCCTGGCTACCAAAAACTAAAACCCAATATTTATTCTAATCTTTATCCAAATGATAGTTCGGAATTCAATGAATTTAAAAAAGCCCTTTTAGAATTACAATTACAAGACAGTTCTTTAACTTTGGAAGGCATTGAATCGAACATTTTAGGTCCGGGGTATTGCTGCGGCTTTTTGGGTCTGCTCCACCGCGAAATAGTTCAAGGAAGAATTAAACAAGAATACGATTTAGAATTAATTCTTACTGCTCCCACGGTTAATTACCGCTTAGTTTTAAATAATGGGAAAGCAATCGAAGCCGCTAACCCCCAAAAGATGCCCGAATGAAATAAAGTGAAAGAAGTCCAAGAATTATTTATTAATTTAATAATCATCACTACCCAGGAGTATTTAGGGAACATTATGGAATTATGTCAAAGTAAAAGAGGGATTTACCAAGACACCCAATTAAAAACTGACATTTGATGACAAATAACTTATGAATTGCCTTTTGCCGAATTTATTACTGACTTTACGGACCAGCTGAAAACTTTATCCCACGGATTTGCCTCTTTTGATTATCAATTTATTGGTTTTCATTCAGCAGAAATTGTGCGGGTGGATATTTTACTGAATAAGCAATTAATTCCCGACCTTTCCTTTTTAGTTCATCGACGATTTGCCGAAGAGCGAAGCCGAGAACTTTGTTTGCGTTTGAAGGAAACTCTTAATCCGCAAAATTTTGCTGTGCCAATTCAAGCCTGTTTAGGGCAAAAAGTAGTTGCCCGGGAAACGCTTCCCGCCTTAAGAAAACACGTTACTGGTAATTTGTACGGCGGAGACCGAACGAGAAAAATGAAACTTTGGCAAAAACAAAAAAAAGGCAAAAAAAAAATGCAAAGTTTGGGCAAAGTCGACTTTACTGGCAACATTTTTCGTAATTTGTTGAAAAATAAAAAGTAAAAACTTTACTCAATTTTACAGGCTCTGCATTTTGCCGTTTCTCCGTTTTTCATAATTGTTTGGGACATAGACAAAAAGCCAAATGCAAAAATTTGCTAGGAATTACTACCAGTAAAAAATTAATAATATGAATAAGGCTGAATTAGAAAGAAAAATAATCAGTTTTTTTCAGCAATTAGAAACAAAAGAATTTATTTCTCCTTTGGATTTTTCCCACTCTCCAAAAACCAAAGATAACCAGTTGATTTTTTTTTTGAAAAGCAAAAAGGACTACGAGCAAATTAGCCAAGAAATTCAAGAATATCAACTTTTAAAGCAAGAGACAACTGGTCCGGAAAATCAAAATATTTTAGAAAAAGAGATAAATGTGCTGGAAGCAAAAAAAACTGCTCTCATTGAAGAAGTGAAACAAGAATTAATTAGTCAAAAAGGCGTTAAGCAAAATGTTTTAATGGAAATTCGACCAGGGGCAGGGGGAGTAGAAGCGGGCTTATTTGCTCGCGATTTATACCGTATGTATCACAAATTTGCAGATAGTCGAGGTTGAAAAGTAGAATTAGTAGAAGCCCGCGCAGACAGTTTAGGTAATTTTTCTTTTGTCGCTTTTTTAATTAAAGGAAAAGAAGCCTTTAAGTGCTTAAAAAGTGAAGCGGGGGTTCATCGGGTTCAAAGGGTTCCGATTACCGAAAACAAAGGACGATTACAAACTTCTACGGCTAGCGTGGTTGTTTTGCCAGAAGTCCAGGATGTTGCTGTCAAAATCAATCAACAAGATTTAAAAATTGAAACTTCTCGTTCTGGCGGGGCGGGCGGACAACACGTCAATACTACTGATTCAAAAGTACAAATTACGCACCTACCCACTGGAATTGTTGCTACTTCCCAAGATGGCCGCAGCCAGCACGACAACAAAGAAAAAGCCCTATTTATTTTAAAAAGTCGTTTATTTGAAAAATACCGCCAAGAACAAGAAAAAACCATCGGTAATTTACGTTCTTTGGCTATTGGCACTTCCGAAAGAGCCGAAAAAATTAGAACCTACAATTATCCGCAAAACCGGGTTACTGACCACCGGGCAGGAATTAGTTGAAATAAGTTGGATTCTATTCTTGAAGGAGATTTACAAGAGATTTGTGAGAAATTAATTGATTATGAAATTGAGAAAAAGTTAGATAATTACCAAAAGTTAATTAAGCAAAAAAAACTAAATTAGTCCGGGTTATACTTAAACTTTAAACAAATTTGGATGTTTTATTTAGTTGGAAGGTTTTCCATTTCGTTTCTGCTTGTTGCTCTTGTCATTTTTCTAATCTCTGAATATGCTTTACTTTGGCAAGAAAATTGGTTTTGTTTACTGAATACAATTATTTCGCATGACATATCGGAGAAAATTACTATGCTATTCAAATTAAGCGCCAGTTTTTTTCTTACCCTTCTGCCAGAAGTAAAATATTAAGCCACCAATCACAGAAGCTATTATTAATCCTCCGCCAATTACTCATCATCAACCTTTAAAACCAAGTTTATCATTACCATTTTGATTTGTTGGTGAACTTGTTTGCTGGTTGTTTATAACTTCTTTTTTATCAGCACCACCACTTTCATATTTTACCTCAGTAATTTTTTTACCCTCTTTTTCTCATGTTTCTTTAATCAACGATTTTAGTTGGCTATGAAATCAATCAGGAATAGCAATTTCCTCTTCCTTAACTTCCAAATCATCATAAGGATAAGGATTTTTGTATGGCGGCTTATAATTACTGCTGTCTCGAATAGTAGTTATAACATCGCCAGCCTCTTTCGCACTATAAACATAAGCGAAAGAACAAAAGGTAGTATCTTTAAACTTTTCCCAACAACTTTGACAAACCCAGAAGCCATGAAATCCCGGACCTTCTCATTTTTCTCGTGGTTTTAAGGCTAAGATTATTCACCCTTGTTTAAGTATTAACTTTTTGGCACACTTTCAACAGCAGGAATATACTCAATCCTCTAAGTCTCTATTATCTCTTTGAGTAGGTGGCTTAGCATCATTTTGGTCGTCATCCTCTTTAAACCAAATTACTCTCTCTCTCTCTCTCTCTTGTTATAATTTTGATTGTTTAATTCCTGGGTGCTATTCATATTATATTTTTACGCTTATTTATTGTATCCTTCTACTAAGGAAATAACTAATGGTTTCGTTTTCGGTAAATCCTGAGAAAGCAGGTCCTGCATTTTTTCTTTAACTTGTTTTTTTAATTCACCCACCGGAGAATTTTTCTTATCATTGACTAATTTATGGAGAATTTTTTTTCAATTTTGCACCAAAAATTTATTTTTTTCCATATGCAAAAACCCATAAGTGAAAAGGTAAGGTAATTCAAACTTTTGTTGAATCTGATTATAAAAAGAAATAACGACCACCACGCCAAAGCGAGACATTTTTTGGCGCAAATCAAGGTAATCCTTTCACCAATCACCCTGAATAATTTTTTGGTTGAAAACGTAATGAGGAGTAGTATCAATTTTTTGGTTAGTGAAAAAGAATTGGGAAGGCTCTTTCTCTTCTTCTCTCGCTTGAATCACTTCCCCATTTTGGCAAACAAAAATATTGTCAGCCGGAACTCCCGTTTCTTGGGCGAGAGAACCATGGACCTTTAACATACGAAAATCACCATGAAAAGGCATAAAATAACGGGGCTTGGTCAAGGTCAACATTAACTTTAAATCTTCTTGGCAGGCGTGACCCGAAGCGTGGAGTAATTCCTCTTTATTGTTTTCGTAAATCGTGGCTCCTAACTCCATCAGTTTATTATTAATGGCTTCTAGATTATAGCGATTATCCATAATTGGTGAAGAAGTCAAAATCACGGTATCGCCTCGCACAATTTTTCAATCAGGGTGAATTTGGTGAGCTAAACGACTCAAAACGGCTTTGGCTTCTCCTTGGGAACCGGTACAGAAAATAATTAATTTTTGGGGAGAAATTTTTTTATTGAGCACTGATTTAACAAAAATTGAGTTATCAATCTTTCATAAACTAACTTTTTGAATAGCCCGCATCATTTTCGCTAGCGACGAGCCTAAAAGAAGAATTTTTTTGTCATATTTTTTGGCAATTTCAATAATTTTTTTTAGCCGGTAAACGTTAGAAGCAAAAGAAGTAACAATTACTCGTCCAGGGGCTTGGGAAATAATGATTTCCAAACGCGAAACTATTTTTCTTTCGGTGGGAGTAGTGCCCGGAACTTCGGCGTTGGTGGAATCACTCAAAAGCAAGTCAACGCCCTTTTTGCCTACCGCTGCTAGTTTAGCCAAGTCGGTTTTTTCCCCAATTTCGGTTCAATCAAATTTAAAATCACCAGTAAGAACTATGCGGGAGCGGGAAGTTTCCACAACTAACCCAAAAGACCCTGGTATCGAATGAGTTACGCGAAAAAAACTAACCCGAAATTCGGCAGTGCGAACCACGGTCTCATCAGAAAAAATGACACCTTTAAGCAAATTTTCTTTATTGCCTAACTTTCCTTTCAACAAAGCCAAAGCAAAAGCCGAACCATAAACCGGAAAATCGTAGCCGATTTCTTCTAAAAGATAAGGAATGCCACCAATATGGTCTTCGTGACCGTGAGTAATAAACAGTCCTTTTATTCTTTCTTTATTGCTTTTTAAGTAAGCAAAATTAGGAATTATTCCGTTAGCCAAATTATAGCCATTATTCAGAAATTTAATTCCACAGTCAATAATAATTAAGTCTTCTTTTTTTTCAATTACATAGCAGTTTTTTCCGACTTCGTGTAAACCACCTAAGGCTAATATTTTTAAGTCTTTATTCATTTTTATTGTTTATTTCTTTCGGTTCTTCCTCTTGTAATTGCTTAGATAAATTTTTCTCGCGATTTTTTTGTCTCTGTGAATCTGGTACGCCCAGAAGGAATCGAACCTTCGACCATTTGAACCGCAATCAAATATTCTATCCACTGAACTATGGGCGCAAGTTAATTAAGCAGATTTTAGCGAAACAAGGTTTCTTATTATTAATATTTTTACTTTTTCTTTTT